ACGCAGGGATTGTAATTCTACAAACTGACCCTCAATTATTCTTTGTTTCAAAGACTGAATAATGTGCATACCTAAATTATTAACAGAATGCACCAGCACAGCTTCCTGATTCTGGCGTGTTTGGGCCTAGAGCTGTTCTTGCACCTGGCTGACTTGCTGTGTCGTGGGAGTCTGTAGCAGTTGGGTCCGTTGTTGGGTCTGCTGAGGCTGCATGGGTTGATAAGATGGTCCTGGCGTAGCTTGCAGCTGTTGTGGAAGTATGCTTTGGTTGGGCTTGCTGGAGAACATTCTGCAGAGGCTGTGCAGGTATTGGTGCAGGGTGAACTTGTTGGTTGAAATGCTGCATAAATGTTTGCTGGCTGACTTGCTGTTGTTGTGTCATGGCAGCCGGCAGTGGTTGGGTCTCATGATGGGCCTGCTGAAGCAGCATGGGTTGATGAGATAGACCTACAGGCGTAGCTTTCAGATGGGGTTGCATGTTTGGGGATCCGGTTACTTGGATTCGATCCATCCGCCTCCTTGTGCGACCCCGATTCTTCACTGTTGTTGTTTGAGATGGGTCAAAAGGTTGAGATGGCCTGCCTTTCGTTGCTCGCTTAATGCGTGGTATGTCAAGTCCAAAAAAAAAAATAATAAAATAAACAGTTAATTCATATAATTATACAAAATATTAAAATGAATTGGAAACATGTAGTCAATGGTGCTAAAATCAGTTCCATTAAGTAACATTTTTGCAACAAAATAGTATGCCTAGCTGTAATTTTTTTTTTGCTAATCATTCATCCAGTTACTGAAAATTGAACCTGAAAAGAGTCGATAAGTTGTAAATATAAATTCTCATAAGATAAAGTCATAAATTATTATTAGTTAGATTATGTTATTAGATTAAATTTTAATTTTTTAACTTGCGACAAAGATGGCGGCTAGCACATGGTGATGCAAAAAAGAAAAACTGAAATGCATCTGACCTGATCTAAAAACATTTGTCATAGAATAGATAAATAAACAATACAAATTCATAAAAACATTAGGCCTAATAGCAATCAAGCAACAAACTATTTTAAAAATCTACACTTAGCTGTTATCGTTTTCAAAAAATGATTAACACAAACCTTGCAATTAGCGTGTAACCGGCAAAGAGAGAGTTTGCAGCACGAGCGCTTCCATTATATAATTGAAAGTTAGATAACTCGTGCCGAAACAAGGAGAGACAACTGCGCCAAAAAATTGCGCTTCCAAGATAAAAGCATCTTATTCGCATATAGGCGAGATAGATGCCATAATATTTACATCAACTGAGTATTATTTCCTTTATTTCTGATGAAAACCATTGCCGTTTATCAGTAAATAAACGACACTAAGCTAGCCACCTGCATAGATTTCTTGAGCAAAGGCCGTTCCATCAATTATGCATACAATGACATACACATCTATAATACACTATTTAACATATTTAATATAACATTGAATGTTTTTATGCAAATATAAATACAAACAATAAAATGTCTTTCTTTCTTTGTTAGTAAGGAAATTAACGTCGCAGTTATTGCAGAAAAAAAATTTACATAACCCGCTCACGCGGGTTATGTATTTTTTCTGCAACAGCTGCGACATTAATTCCTAACAAAGAGAACATTTTTTATGTTTAAATCAGATAAATAAGATGATATTGTGCTGTACGCTAAATCACGAAGGACAAGTGAGCGATTAATATACACAAGTGAGAGAGGGGAGGGCCCCAAATATCATCTAAACCGTAGTCATTCTTGGAAAAAAAACTTTACCTGTAAACTATTTCAGTACTGCAGTTTCGTGTTAGGGGCAATAGAATTAAGAGTTAAATGCTCTATTTCAGCTCTAATATCATTTTGTGGAATCTCCTGGGATGTGTATAGGATCTTGATCCGCTTCTGGTGCGAGCGACTGGAATCTTTCCCACTGATTTCGGGAAATAGAATAGCGATTGAATTATTGCAACCACAGTTATGTTTTACTTTAAAATACATATTGTTAATCATTAGAGGTGACACTTATTCCATTACTCTTTCAGATTTAGATGTCTTCCTATTTAGAATAGATACTACAGCAATGTTGTCTGTACGAAACATGATTTTCTTATTTTGGAAATGATTTTTGAATAATAGGACTGCCAGAACTATTGGAACTAATTCTAAGAAAGTTATATCAGATATTATATCCGAATCCTGCCACTGGGTGGGCCACGGAAAATATGCCCAATGGCCTTGTAAATAAACACCGTCACAAAGCTGTGCATTACCTGCACTGTCTGTGTATAAGTGAAGCTCAAAATTAAAAAAAAAAAAATAATCTCTTAAATAAAATGAAGCTACCGTTAAATTGTTCGAACAAACCTCACAAAACCCGTAGGTCTCTCTTCTTACCAGTATTAACCCTTAGAAAATGAGGCGAATGCTGAATACCAAACATGGCATCACAGATACAATGATTAAGGCACGACCTGAAAGGAGGGCTTTAGCGCGGAAATTTGGAGAACCTATTAAGGACTATAGCTCTTTTAATCTTATTTTCGGTATTTCGAAAATTGTTTCAATAGTTTTCCTAAGTGCAATGTTTTTTTTTTCCTCCGGTATACCTATAACAATTTTTCCTGTGTCAATTTCTATACCAAGAAAAACCAACGAATGCTTTGGACAAACAGTTTTTTCCTCTGTTAGCGGAAGTCCAAATTCATTACAAGTATTCTAAAGGTTTGTCATCAGTAATTTACTCACTTCGAAATCTCTAGCAGCGAAATAAAATCATCTAGATAATGGTTAATTGCTTTTATGCCTGTTTTTGTGATAGTTAACCATTGTAAAAATTGGGCAAATTTTTCCCAAGGGCACAACTAGCAGAACAGCCCATAGGTAAACACATATATCGTAATTAAACTTGTTATTGAATTTAAGACTTAATAATTCATGATCAGAAGGATGTACTGTTAATAAACGAAATACTGACTTGACGTCCATTTTCGCAAAAAGGGAGTTTTTAGCTAATGCTGCAATCATTTCTAATACTTTATTGAAGGGTGTGTCGTGAATCAAACAATAATCAGGATCGATAAAATCGTTTACACTATTTCCTTCGGGAAATGATAAATGATGTATTAAACGCCAACCCCCATCTTTTAGCTGCGATACTTATAGTTGATATTCTAAAATTTATTAGGTGTACTTCATCAAAAGGACAAGCAACTCGACCTAACGCAATTTCTTTATCTATTTTTTGCTGAACTTTGTCTCGATATTGCTGAGTTGATACTAAATTGGTACATGTTGATAAAAACGAGAACCTAAATAAATTGAAAAAAAAAAAATATAAATGCATATACACTAATGTATAAAGAAAATAAGAAATGAAATAATCGATATCAAATATATGAAGTGGATGGGTGGGATTTTTTACGCACAGCTGATTTGTAAAATATGCTTACAACCGTTGTACAAGAGCCAAAGATATGACGACACAATGTCTAGGTACAGTATAAATTCCCTGCAGTTTTATCGGGTACAAGTGAACTTATATTTACATTACTATAATAATTTGATTTATTTTGTAATGAAAATGAATTGTAATATTATTTTATTGATGTATTAATACCTTTAATTACTTTTATGCATATATTTATTTATTTATTTATTTTTATTCATTTATTTCTTATTGACAATGTATTTATCCCCCCCCCCCCATTTTTTATTTATTTTATTTTTATTTATTTATTTTTTCTATTTATTTATTTATTTTTGCTTTTGTTTTTACACGTTTAATGCAAAATTGATGCACAAGTGTCAACTCCTACAATGTACCTTTATGCATGCTATCTTCCTATAAATTTTAATGCATGTTATTCAGAGTATAATATTGCAATACTTTTTTCTGCACTGGACTATTTATATGAGGAATTCTATTTGTGGAAAATGTAGCGCCGGCAGAAATGCGTAATGCTTTTGTTGTGTTCGTCCATGTAGAAGGTATATACATTTTGATTTGGATGCATTAATAAGGATTCGCCTACACCAGTCTTGTAGAGTTTTAACATCTGTTGTAGATTTTCCTCTTTATCTGCAACAGGAACTATGTCGAAAATTTGAATTGAAATCTTAGTTTTCACAGATGTTTCTTAGGTTACAGCTTTGTTTGACACCAGTCGAACACTTAAACAACTCAGTTTTCCATTTATCCTTAGGCATGAAAAGTAACATATATAAATATTTTTAATGGATTTGTAGACTTTCCTATTGATATTATTTAGTAGTAACTTATGCAGGAGCATTTCCCGGTCATTAAATTCAAAACACTTCTTTAGGTCAATGAAGGCTGTATAATTTTTTTGTTGTTTTCCACAATACTATTTAACACAAATACATGATCTTCATAAGATCGTCCTTGTCATAAACCATCCTGCTCATCTGCTGGTATGTTCCTGTCATTAAGAAATTCTGTCAGTCGACCCCTGTGTTTAATGTAGATACGTTAAATAATTATGAAAATAATTAACCCAGTATATGTTTCAAAACTGAAGTCAATATTGATTTTCTTGATATTTAGATAAAACCACACTTACTGCTAAAATTGAACTTAATTATTCATAGATATGTTGACGTAGATCCAATGAGTTAAAACTAATTATGAAAGAAAAACCTTATATATATTTCTAAACTGAAGTGTTATTAAGGATTGTTATTCCCGTATCTGTACGCCTAAAATGCATTGTGTAATGCCAAATGCTATAATGGAAATACTTTATTTAACTTGGCTAGTTTTTGGAGTGATAAGGACTTGTTTTTGTCAGTGTTTTAATCCGGAGACTTATTTAATCAAAAGCTTTGATAACTCTTCTACAGAAGTTGGGTCAGAATTTAAAGTTCTGTCCAACGCAAGTCTTACCATGTGTGTGGTGGTTTGCTATACATTTACACTCTGTCAGTCAGTTGACTGGAGCCAAATTGAAAGAACTTGTGTACTGAATGCGAAATATGTCACCCATAGTTCAACTCTCCCTCCGATTAAAACGCACAGTATCCATATCGACCGAAAGGACTTCCCGACGGTAGGGAAAGCTGGGATTATTTTCCTTCAGAATCGATGTAATAAAATTTTAATTGATTACACTGACATGCAAGTAATTTTTATATTTGTATAACCTTAGGCTGTTGGAGGTGATTGTCTCAATCATTCATGTAACAAAGGATCCATCTGTAAACAGGGTGAATGTGTTCAAGTTTTACGAGGTAAGCTAATATGAACTTTGCTGTTTTAAAGACAGAATTTCTTCTAGCTGATTTATATATTCTGAAATGATAAAGGAGATAAAACGTTTTTGCAATTTTACTTATTCATCTTAATTTATAGATAACAACACTCGCATAAGTTGATATTGCAATGATGAGTTATTTCTAATATATATATATATATATATATATATATATATATATATATATATATATATATATATATATATATATATATATATATATATATATATATATATATATATATTTGCACATTTTTTTAATCTCCCGACGCTTACTATGAATCACAATGGTATAAGAAAAAAATATACAGTAATGCATACATAGTTGATAATGTAAAGGAAGCATAAAAATAATGTAAATTTAATTTTATAAACTGATTGATAAAACAAGTAATGTATTTTCGTTTCCTAGTTTCCTGTAAAGCACTTATTTTTGTTCATGGTTCATATGTGAAAAAGTATCTCTGTAACATAATTGGTAGATGTATGAATCATCATACCTTTGAAGTGAAAAAGGTGAAGATAACGAACATTGGTCGATCTCAAAAAATATATAAGTCAGCCAAAATACGTCCAAGTGATATTTGCTAGCACGGGCATTAAAACGACCATAGAATTTACGAAATACCGACTTTAAACTAGGTTATTGAAATCCATGTAACATCAACTTATCTGTCAGTAGCCTGCCTCGGATTAAAAATTGATCGCACTGAGAGCATGCCCTTGAGTATCGAATACATGTAAGTTGGGAGCTGTAAACACCATATGTAGGTGATAGCGGGCTATTACTACATAAATAAAGGAAAGTTGACGATTTAAGAGTTAAAGTCATCTCTTTTCCATACAATTTAATTGCAAGTTGGCACTTTTTCGCCTATAGTCAGTAAAACATCCAAATATGAAATAAATGTGTCAGACTCTGTGGTGTCTTTTATTTCAAGTTCACTCGGATATATCGAATCGACATATGAATTAAAGTAACTATTGTTAATTGATAATACATCGTGGATATATCTAAATGCAGAGATGAAGGTCACAGCAAGTGTGTTTTTTTTCTTCCATTGTTGAAGGTTTTGAATAACTTCTGCTTCATATGAATTGGGTATAGGTCTGAGTTTCCAGTCCTCCCCCAGCAAGTGGTGGCGTATCCATATGAATCGATTGAAAATTTCCACTACAAGAAAACCGGTCACGGTAGCCTAGTAAAAGTGAAAATCACAGGACTTTCGGAGGAGACCTTAAAAACCGTTATATAGACAGTTTAAATAAATATTTAGAGGAAACAGCTAACATATTGGAAATAATGCTGTACATACGTTTTATTTCCTCATATTACAAGAAATGGCATTAAGTCTCACTACGCAGGTAGGTTAAGGCTTCCCGTAGAATATCATAGTGCACTCTGTGCCTTCACATCTCTGAACTACCAAAATATGACGTCATAATGGAAAATGACGTCAAGTCACTGCAAACTTGAGGTGTTATGACGGGGAGAGTGTCATGAACTTTACACTTTATTTCAAACTGCATGTAAAATGCTAGATAACTACTGCAAAATTCACGGGTCGTTAAATGTTTTTTAAGTCTTATATGTCCGAATATTTTAAAAATACACCACTTACCTACCCTTGATTGAAATTCAGCATGTTCAAAATGCTTATGAAAAATATACTGTTGAAATGTACTCTGTTTCATACCCGTGGTTGGAGGTAGAATTTATTTTGTGTGTATAAAAGAGTCTGGCGCAGGTGATAAATGAGGATTAATCTGAGAATTTTTGTGGAAATCTTTAACAAGAGGTTGTTCTCTAACTGAATCTTGCTTGGGGAAAATGTGTGCTGGCTTTGTTTTAATACAGATTACGATATTGTGTGGAAAATACCCTCAGATTTGTAGGTAAGTTGAATTTCTCAGGAAATATTTTGTACCCAAGTAATACTATGACTTTTCCCAAGCAAATTTGGGATACACAAGGATACGATGAGTTTATTTATATAACAAAATGTTAATAATTATTGTGTTAATCAGTTGCGCCGAAGCGATTTATATGAAACACTTCAAAAATTTATAAATGGTCGTCACGTGATCAACAAAGTCATGTGATATCATAACAAGTATGTTAATATATAGCCGAGGAAACCCTTTATATAAATTGGAATTACTATAGTTCAATACTTATAAATTAAAACCAAAACCGACCTCGCAATGACATATTATGTTTAGAGCGCATTTTAAAGCTTCGGGAAGCCTTGACATAGCTGCGTATTTTACCGATTTAATTAAGAATTGATCTACCCTCTTTAGCTAGACGCAGAACTGGTTGTTCTTTCATCAAAAGCATGTTTTCAACAAAATTCCCGAAAATACAAATATACATTTTTGTATATTTAAGCTATGTTCTAATTACCTGCACGACTTATTTACAGAGAAGAAATGAACAACCCCTCCACATGAGAAATATGTATCAACGTGATACTTGTATCCCAAGAAAAAACAATGGAAACTCGGGAGGAACTTTTTTGACTTAATTAAAAATTGAGGAATTTTATTCTCTTTGAGTTCCTATATGTTTATCCATTTAATCGATTTCTATTCTAAAGAGCTTTAGATAATATCGCAGCCTAAAAGGAATTTTCGAGGCTTACTTTTGTGGTTTAATGTTCGAAAATAATAAGATATTAATTTTGTCATATTATGTAAAGTAATCATTCAACTGAATCTGTTAGTGACTACTTTCATTAAAACAATCAATAAAACAAATGTAAGCAACAACAGCACTGTGTTTTGTATAAAAGAAAATTCTGCTAAATCATGAGCATAAACAATAACACAGAAATAAACTATGCAGCAGCTAAATATACACAATTAAATTGAACCTAAATGATGAACGAAAATTTGTTATTAATATCGTATTTATTATAAATTCTGGGTATTCAAAAATGTATTTCTTTTGATGATAGTCATAATATTTTGCATGCTTACCCTGACAAAAAGTGAAAAAGTTAATTATAGTTAACTATAGTTTACTATAGTTAACTATATTTTATTATAGTATCTTTTTTTTTTTATTTAGTAAATCTAAGTATTTTTACTATAGATTTCAGAGCGTTATATTTTTTACTCTTTAATTCATACCTGCACTTTTTTTTTATTAAATTGAAATATTATTTCTATATTCACACATTATTTTCAAATTTTACATTACTGTTATCGAATTTTAGAGATTTTAAGCATTGAAATTTAAAAAAAAAATTCTAGAGTAAAGTTTCATTGTAATTCAAAGTATCAAAGTTTTCACTATAGTTAACTATAGTAAATTTTTGTTAGGGCATATGTCTTAATTTTAGTGATGTAATAAATACAGAAAGTAAGTAAGAAATATTTCTTTTTAAAAAGTGCTTGGACATTTTAATGCTAAATCTATCATAGAATTTTTAGATACATTTACATAAATAACTACGATATGTAAAATGTATTTTGAAATTTCCGTTTGCTTAGAAATAAATAGAGCTGTTTCACAGAAAAAAGTACCCGAATAGCCATTTTCACCTGTATAAATATTTTAACAGAAAATTGCTTTGACCTTCTACGAGAAGATTCGAATTTACAAGGAAAAGATGGGGTATATCAGATATATGTAGCTCCTGAAGTAAAAGCTGTTTATTGTGACATGAGCACTGACGGAGGGGGGTGGACCGTAAGTTAAATTTCATGCATTTAAAAGTACTAGTTTAACTAACATAGTTTAAAGTTGTAACAACATAGTGTAAAGTTTAACTAGCATAGTGTAAAGTTGTAACGAACATAGTGTAAAGTTTTAACTAACATAGTGTAAAGTCGTACCAAACACAATGTAATGTTGTAACTAAAATAGTATATAGTAGTTATCGATATACTTAAATTCATTCACTCACAAAAACTTTTAATTTTAGACATCTTCGAAATAGGGCATACAGAATGTTTTTTCTTTCAATAAAATGTTTAGCAATGGCTATATAAGACAAGAGTTGTACTGTTTGAAGGCTATTCAACGAAGACAGGACAATTCAACAGACTTTTTTCGGACATGGATAGAATATAAAGAAGGGTTTGGTAACCCAACGAAAAACTATTGGATTGGTAAGCTTTCTTCTTATTGAAATACAACAATAAGTGGAAAATATGGTTTTATATGTATAAGACTGTGAAAAAAGGCAAGGGTTTCATCTAAACATGATAAATTTCCTTTCTTTCAATCATTGTTTTTAAGTAGTATTATTTACATTTACTGCTTTTTTTTATACTGAAACAATTATGTTATGAAGATATAAGAGTTCGGTATGGATTATTTGAAATATACACGTAGAAACCACTACACATATGACGTCACAATAAGGCAAGTGAGATAGGAAATAAACGATATAGGGCAAGGATTAATTTAACTCTTGAATGCATTATTGTTGGCATTAGTCGATTTAAATATGTAAAGTTCAAAATATGATATATGCATATACATGAACATGCTTTATAAGTCGTGATTAACAGACTAATTACACTCAAAAAACTATTTTAAAAATCCTTTAATATTTTCTTGATCTTATCTTAGTTATTATAATGACAATTCGAGAGTAATGATTTATCGCTTTCTTTTTTAAGATCAAAGTTTCCCAATGTTTAAAGAAATATTTTTCTCAAAGTATTTTACAGCTAAAATATATATCATGATATATTGGTCAGAATATTAAGCATTCAGCAAAGTATCCCTGACTTGTTCCAAATGTTCAAAATTTAATGTCTTACGTCCCTCTTTCAAGAGATATAACTTTTACAGGACATAAATCAAAAATATATTTATTTTAGACATTCCTTTTTATAATTAAGGTATTATTTTTAGCATTTTTGTATTCAACATAATATTCCTACATGACAATCACTCCCTCTAGCAGAAAGTCTAATGTTTTCAACATTGATTTGTATTTTCTGCTGCTAAAATAATAGCTATTAATTGTTTTCTATTTTAAACATTTGCACGCAGCTTGTTCCCAGTTTGCAAATTAAAATATTTCATTTTTATAAGAACTTTAAAAGTAATATTATTTACAGTGTAATGTGTCTTGCTGATGGTAACTTTTTTTTACAAGCATAGATAAACGACGTACTTTTTTGGACTTAAAAAGTATAGCTTCAGTATTTTTTTTTTTTCAGAAATGACTTTAACTTGTATGACACTTAATGTTATTAATCTCCTACCGGTGAAACCGGAGGGGACTATAGGTTTCCTTTGAGTCTGTCCGTCCGTCTGTCCGTCTGTCTGTCTGTCAAGCTGTCCGTCTGTCCCTCTGTCTGTCTGTCTGTCAGTCTGTCCCACTTGGTTTTCCGGACTTTTTTTCTAAACGTTTGCAGATATTGAGGTGATTTTTGGTATGTGAGTGTATCTTGATGAGTTACAGATCAAGTATGCATTTCGTTCCGCATCAATGATATTTGACGGAATTACGACCTTTTCAATTTTTCAGGGTTTTCCGCAATTGTTTTCTAAACGCTTGCAGATAATGAGCTGATTTTTGGCATGTGACTTTACCTTGATGAGTCATAGATCAAGTTTGCATTTCGTTCCGCTTCATTGATTTTTCACGGAATTATGGCATAACAGGAACCAGATTACACTTGCCGGTAGGGGACTAGTATTGCTAATGCAATATTCTCAGAATGCTTGTTTTTATATACACATAGTATTTTCATTTTATGTTCTGATAATGTAAAAGACATTTTTAGTGCTACTTCTACTTACTGCGTCAAATGGGAAGAAATAGAATTAATGTTGGAAAAATTAAGCCTACCTTAATACCTCAAACCCTTTTCCATTTGAATATAATGCTTTCGTTGTTTATAAAAATCAATGTTGCAAATTAATTTTTTATGAAATATAGAAAAACGGGGAAATTGGACCTTAACAGTAACGGGTATAAATTTAAAAATTAGTTCTTGCTTTCGATATATAAATGAGAATGATTTTTAGCTCTACTGGTCAGAGACCAGAAGAGCTTATGCGATAGTAAGGTGTCCGTCGTCCGTCCGTCCGTCTGTCTGTCTGTCTGTCTGTCTGTCCGTCTGTCTGTAAACAATTTTTCAAAACGCTACTCCTCCTACAGTTTTGGTCCGATTTCAATATAACTTGGCACACAAGTAGACTACACTAAGATACATAATTTAGTGCATCGGTTTTTGATTTCGATGGACGGTGTTGCCATGGTTACTAAAAATAGAAATTTCTGTGAAATTCCTTTAAAACGCTACATCTCCTACAGTTTTGGTCCGATTTCAATATAACTTGGCACACAAGTAGACTACACTAAGATACATAATTTAGTGCATCGGTTTTTGATTTCGATGGACGGTGTTGCCATGGTTACTAAAATTAGAAATTTCTGTGAAATTCCTTTAAAACACTACTCCTGCTACAGTTTTAGTCTGCTTCTAATATAATTAGGCATTCAAGAAGACTACACTAAGATACATAATTTATTGCATTGGTTTTTGAATTCGATGAGCAGTGTTGCCATGGTTACTTAAAATAGAAATTTCTGTGAAATTCCTTTAAAACGTTACTCCTCCTACAATTTTGGTCTGATTTCAATCTAATTTGGCACACAGTTAGAATACACTACGATACATAATATGTATTTCTGTTTTTTTTTATTTGGGTGAATGGTGTTGTCATTGTTACCGGTACTAAAAATAGAAATTTCCGTGAAATACTTTCAAAACGCTACTACTCCTAGTTTTCATTTGATTTCAATATAACTTGTCACAAAAGTAGACTACATTAAGATACATAATTCTATTTATTGTTGCATGTTGCAATGTTTCAAATCCAAGTGCTACTTTTCTTTTGTTATACAAACAGACCAGTAGAGCTACAGTCTCATCAGAGACTTCTGGTTTTTTTTTTCGTAGTTACTTACAAATAAATTAGATTGATAAAAACAGCTATTTAAACTTTGATGACTAGTCATTGGATGATTAAATAGTAATATAGCTATCAAAATTTAAGATAATTCCTATGTATATCTAGTTAGGATTTGTGAAATATCCTTTATATTATTTTTTTAAGTTCACGTTTTTGTAATTTATGCCAATTCTTATATTCAAGTGTTTGATTTGTATTATGTCAATAGGAAACAATGCCATTCACACCTTAACTAAAGATGGGAACCAGGAACTTCGGATTGAGCTTCAGCGTTTTAATGGAGAAAAGGCTTTTGCTCAATATTCTACGTTTTCGCTCGGAAGTGAGGACACATATTTTAAACTGTATGTGTCTGGGTATTCCGGAACAGCAGGTAAATGATTTTTCCCATTTAAAATACACTGATTGAAATTTAGTTCCACTTTGAATTCGACATATCGCCCATTTTAGAAACACATGTTTAAAAAAAAGTACCGAACCGGTTGCGGTGGCCTATAGAGGAAGGGCGCATGTTTTGTGATTGAGAGGTACCGGTTACGATTCTCGTTCCCGGCTCCATGTCAAACCTAAGACTTAAACATAGGTTGTGGCTGTTTCTTTGCCAAGCGTCCTATACTAGAACTGAAAATCACGGGTCTTTCGGGCGGGAGCTTAAAAACCGAGGGCCGTGTCAGGGTAGGCATTGGCACGATAAGCAGCTCTCTCTGCTCAGTGGCCCATGGTGCCGAATAAACGTTTTAATTGGAAGCCCTTCAGATGTATATGGTGGTTCCCATGAGTGAACAATTCTCATAAGAGATGGAAAACAACTTAAAATCAATTAATTAATCAAAAAGTTATACGAAATATGTAAGTATCTATTGTCATATGCAACTAACCATTTCTCTCATATAATAATATTACAAAAAAGTGTTGATGAGTACAAAAATGATTAAATGAATATACTTCACTTCACAACAATGCAACTAATTCCCCAGATCAAAAATGAAGATTTATTTGCCATCTGTTATTTCAAAAGAATGATTATATCCGGTTACAGGTGACAGTTTGGCTTATCATAATAAAAAAAGATTTTCTACTAAAGACAACGACGCTGCATATAGTGGGCGACGCTGTGCAACGGAGCGCCATGGTGCTTGGTGGTACTATTATTGTAGTTACTCAAATCTAAATGCAAAATATAGAGACTCAGTCGAGGAAAAAGGACCAAAATACATGATATGGAATTCTTGGAAAGGAGGAGGACCACTTAAAGAAACAATGATGATGATAAGAGGAACTCATTGATCTCTCTCTCTCTCTCTCTCTCTCTCTCTCTCTCTCTCTCTCTCTCTCTCTATATATATATATATATATATATATATATATATATATATATATATATATATATATATATGTATGTATGTATATATATCATGTCAAAGGTTTGATGAAAGAGCTATCCCACTCACAGCCAGTGGATAAGCGTTTTATTATACTGATGTGTATCATAATTTCTGAGGGTTGGATTTACCTGATACTTCAGTTCCATAGGAGAAACACGAAAAAAAATAATTATAAAAAATAATAATAAAAGTTTTGAACAAGTATTTGGAATAAGAAAGCACTACTAGAATGAGCTGAAATCTTGATGACGTCACAATGCTACTGAAGTCAGGATGACATCATAACTCTATAGATTGATTACAGGAAATCAAAATTGGCGGCAAAAATTGCATGAAAATTTTCCGAGGGGTGGGTACAGTCCCTGAAACGTTCTACTTTCCCACTTGAACGGTGAGCGAACGCTGAACGAACGCAGAGCGAACGGTGAGTGAACGATGTGTGAACGCTGAACGCAACTTGGTGAACGATGTGTGAACGGTGAACGGTGAGTGAACGCTGAATGCGAACGGAGCGCAAACGCGAACGCAAAGTGAACGGTGAACGAACGGTGAACGCACGCTGAACGATATATTCGGAATGCCTCTGATCTTTTCCTTGCATTGAAACTATTTTATTGTATTATAATGTCAGGTGCCAAATAAATAAATAAATAAATAAATAAGTAAACCAATAAATGAATGAATAAATAAGTCAATAAAATAAATTCTCCAAAATTGTCCTAAGAAAGGCGATGCATGCACATTAAGTTTTTAATCACACGATTTTTATCGCATTAAAACATTGCAATTGTTGCCGAACGCTGAAGTATAAAAGATATTTTTTAGTTGGAAAATAAAAATGTTTATTCTTATTTGATAACAAATCAGAGAAAACTTCTGACTTCTAGAATGAATTAAAGTGGTTGTAACATCCATTCATATATCTCCGTGTCCAGGCGATTTCGTGTAAAGTAATTGAAAAAAAAAATAATTACAAAGGTCAATGGACGTTTTGCATTTATACGCTCGTATTTTAAATTTTTAATACAATAATATATTATGTGTCATTTCTATTTTTCATGATGGTTTATTGAGCAGACTTTTACATGTATATGTAGATGGCCGTGGTTATACTCGGACAAGATAATACAGAGATACATATTCATATTATTTGTTATAAATTCAATTTACAGAAATTGATATTAGAGTAATATGCTGTTATAGTTTTTATTAAACAGACAAGAGAGAGAGAGAGAGAGAGAACTATTCCGTTTTAGCCCCCCTCTCCTTTCAGGCTTCACTAAATGTTTGTACCTATATCAAATAAAAACTCTGATTTTTTTTTCTAAATATATCAGACAGTGAAAGTAACTTTTTTTTTTATCAACAAATCATATCAATTTGTTTGACAGTCATACTCGTTTTTATGTTCCTGCTTCAAGTTCACACGAAGTCCACGTGCTTGTCCTGTCAATCAAAATTATTCGACATTGTGCAGGTGTTAAAGTTTCGTCACATCGAAGACGAAGTGCGTATTTCCAACAAGTTATAACATTTATTTTTATCATTTCTAGATTTGATTCCAACATTTCAATAATAAATGAATAAAATACATTGGGCATTAACACTTGGATTTGAAACATACTCTCTGTCAATTTCAGATACCTATTGTTTTGTGACTTTTTTAGATACATGTTTGTTTTGAGGCTGAAATTTTTGTTCTAAAAAAGACCTTAACTTTTTTTTTTAAAAATGTTTATTAAAATATTCTGGAAATGCAGTACTGACTAATTAAGTAACCGATTTAGGGAGAAAAGGGGGGTATTAATCATATCGAATGGCAAACATAGAAAGTTACGGTGAAGAGAGAATTTTTTTCTTTATAACTATAGACTTTACATATTACAGTAGAGAAAATTCTGTAGTGCAGTACATTTTAAATAAATATTTCCTTTAACCACACTATCAATTTAATTCGCTCCAAAGATAATAAATTAACAGGATATCCGCAGTATTATGTATAACTCTCAGAACTAGTTCTACTATATTTTCTGTAGTAATTGAAAAAAAAACGTGTTAGAAAAAAATATTTTCGTAATTTTGCTGCGTAATTATTTGACTTGGATAATTATATCACCATTAACGATTTGTCGTCTTTAACAAAACAACAAAATGTTGCAGTGCTTGAAGTATTTGCACATTGCCCTTAGTTAAATTTAATATTTCCGCATCGTTGTACATAAGTACAGAATATGCTTATAACAACATTTATTTTCCAGAGTAATTTAATAAATAACCTAACAGCTAAGTTAGAATAATAAAAATATATATCGTAGATATTTTTCCCCATGAAATAATTATTCTTCAAACACGATATGTTAGTTATTAAATCAAAAAACCTGTAACTCCTTTCCTACAAAAAGATAAGTCCTTTCACTTCGGAGTTCCGAATGACAATGAAAACTGAACGATAGGTGAACGCTGAACGCAAGGTGAACGCAAAGTGAACGGAACGAAGAGCGAACGCTGAACGCTTTGTGAACGGTGAACGCGAGCGCACGGTGAACGGTGAACGCAAAACTGTGAACGGAGAGCGAACGGTGAACACACGGTGAACGAACGGTGAACGCACGCTGAACGAACGGTGAACGAACGGTGAGCGAACTGAAAAATGGGAAAGTAGAACGTTTCAGGGACTGTTGCAAAAGCTTTACCCCGGGGTATAGCTTTGCTATGCGTGGAAACTTTCAGACTATAAAAGATCTATATATATATATATATAAAATAAATATTGATAATTCAACCGGAATGTTAATTTCGCCAGATGAAAAGTCAGGAGCCTTATATGCATGTCTATCTCCTGCGGTTTTGTTTGTGTCTGACGTCTGTGGGCGGAGGCTATTGAAATTTAAAACATGTGAGACCTCGTGCATTTATATTATATTAGACAGCATTTTTTTTGAATTTAGATTTACAATTCTGCTTTATATATATATTGTAAATATAAGGAATCACTGTTTAATTTGTTGGGTATACCAGATACACCAAATTTAGTTGGAAACATTGGATGATTACTGCAAATTATTCCACGTTTCCAACTATCGTTGATGCCCTGGCATACCCAATAGACAGTGATTCCACACACACACACACACACCCTTACGTGTACAACCGCAATTCTCACTACACGAGGTTTTACACCTGAAAGTCACTACACTATGTTCCAGCAATGCTAACAAGATAAACAGACCATAACTGTGATTCTATGGGTCTTTGTATATGCAAATGAGGTTCAGAAAGATGAAAATTCAAATAATGAAAAAATGATTTTTCACCTAAAAGTCACTACATTTGGTCACGTGATTTTGCTCAATCACACACCGGAAGTTGACAAGTCACTACATGGCTTTACCAGGACACACACAGGAAACTCAGTACATAAACACTCTTGTAAGATATTATACAAGAAAATCACTACATTCAGTAAATTTTGAATGCGTTTCCCGTAAAAACACCAATTTTTCCAAAAAATTGTCGAAAATACATGACAATGTCTGCATGAAATCTGAATGCTATAGAAAAAAAAAATTGTCAAAGGATATCCGATAAAGTTAAAAGATAAAAAATTGGCTTTCAACATCTGTATATAGATTAAAATAGAGCAAATGAAATGAGAAGAATAAATTAACAGTCATGACAAAGATTTAAAAGTATTAACGGCCCGGCACGTAACATCGTTTTTGAAAGTCGGGGGGGGGGGGGGGGGGGGGCAGAAAATACAACTTAATACCCGAAAATCTTTGGCAAGCAAGAGAAATAGGTTTACTTCAAAAAGTCGAAAATCCTATTGGTGGGTTGAACTTTTGTGAACCCTCCAAAAAATTTCTTTACAATAAAATGACCGCATTTAAATACAGAACAAAACAGTGTGTGTATGGGGGGGGGGGGGTTAATGAACACTTTCACAGTAAATTAAAAATAAAACTTTTAAGTTTGAAAAAAGGAGGGGCCAAGCTACCCCTCCCCTCTGCTTTTACGTCGCTGACGGCAATGAATTGCCGAGTGTGCGTTGATTCAAGACTTGCTTCGTCAAGAATATTCGTTTTGGGTTTTTTTTTCTGTTGCATTGAGTAAGACAAGTAGAAATTGAAAATCGTTCCCCAATTTTAATTGCAATCATTATGTTTTTTATGATCTTAAAGAGTTTATTTTTTTCTTAATAAGAATTTTATAGGATTACAAATTACTTAACTACTGTTCATGTAATAACATCTCGTTCTTTTTTATGTGGATGACACCACAACCAGCATTCAAAGGAAAATTTACAATAGTAATATAGTATATTCAGAAAAGGGGGGGTGGGGGGGGTAGCCTCCGCGTTCTACGGACCTGAAATAAGGGGGAAAATAATGATCCCCCTTATTTATTCTTGCAATTTAATGACTTCAAAAAACTGAAATTACTTTGGTGGGGAAAGTCTACTTCATTGTTTTTTTATGCATAACATTCTATCATTTCATTTTCCAATTCAGCATTTAAAAATCCCATTGCTCAGATATGTTGGTCTCTAAAACCATGATTTTTTACGAAATGCAGTTCATACAGCACCCTTTAGTTTTCTTATCCCTTTGCTCAAATGTTTTACAACATTTTGAAAGATCAAACAAAAAAGACGGTTTGTTTGCATGAAACAATTTAATTGCATCAACTATACAAAAAAGTACATAAAAAGAATGCTGACATGAAATAAGATACACATGTATAAGCCAAGTGTTAATAGATAATTCTTGCTGTTAATTTTTAAGGTATCCAAAATAAGTTTATTTTCACAGAACAACCAAGGACAATCAGTCAGTATTTGTGCAAAATATAGTGGCATTTTCTTAGTGCATTAAACAACATACAAGTTTCGAAATAAAAAAAAACTCTTTAAGCTTAAAGCTGAAAACCAAGCAAGAAATATAAATATCACGCAGTTAATAACTTCCTGTGTTTAAAATGCAACAAAAGGCCCTAGGCTATGACTATTACCTGAGTATTATGAATTTCTCAGGCTGTGGTCATTTCAAAACCGCCTGGATCTAGAAATCTAGACCCATGCAACAAAAATCGTAAATTTTCACAAGAATTCTATATTTATTATCATATTGATGCAGCTGAACTCCTAGAAGTTCAAAAGTAAAGATGATAAGGTATACTGGCTAATACTGTATAAAACATTCTAATTTATGACAAACTCTGCCTTTTCATGGGCCTGAAACATGAAGAAGCCTTCAATTAGAGGGCTAAGCATTAATTAAGATTAATTTTAGAGGTCCATGTTTGCTTTGCTACGAATATGGATTATTCTAATGGACTTTTGAGTTTGATTACTATTCATAATCTTCATATTTAATTTTATGCCTGCTAGTTTGCCTGCTAGATGTTCACCAGTAAAGGATTTTTTAAAACTTCAATTTACAGCCCATAGCAAGGGTTTCAAAAGTAGGGGGGACTTCAAAAAATATCTGACAAGCAAAAAAAAACATTATTTACTGAACCGACCTTATTGCAACAAAAAGGGGGGGGGGGAGGGGCAACCAGGATATAAAGGATACTTTACTATAGCAAAATACTATACTCAGAAAAAGTGGGGGGGGGGGGGGGTTCTATGGGCCTGTTGCAGTGTCAATATAAATAGGTAAACCTTGCATGAACAATGGGTCATGAGCGATAAATTTCACAAATTTTGGTTAAAAAATAATTACTTGCTTATATTATGCAAACAGCTGTCTGCTACATGTCCATGAAAAAAAATTTATAGGATATATTTTTTCAATATTCAGCTCCATCCTGAACCTATATGCAAAAATGAATCTCACAATTTTTTGTACTTAAAGAGCTATGGGATTATATGATATGCATACCATCAACTGCCTGCTGGCAAAACTTCTCACAAAAGAGACATGAATGTTTTTTATTATCATAGTTTCCAGACGATGTTTTTGGCCTCTAAAAACCTGGTCTTTTGCTTCTCTGACTGTGGTAAAACTTTGCCGACATCATCATGATCATCTTCACATTCACTGTCCTTTTCGCTGTCACTTGCAAGTGCAGCTTGTTTCTGCTGCATTTCAGATTTGAGAGGCTTACTGGGCATATCTGAAATTATTATATATGTACATGTATTGACAAAAGGGATTCATCTTTATTTTTATAGAAGAGGCCAATGGGCCACATGGCTCACCCAAGTCACAATGGCCCTGCACATTTCCCCCCTATATATCCCTATGTAAAGCTTTGATTGCCTATTATGGCCTCATCTTACCCATTCAAACCTAATGAAGAGGTATGAAAGTTGTTTTTCCATACTTCAATCTGTTAGGCATGATTGAAACACTCTATGTAAGCTCCTTATGGAGATATTTATAATTTATAATGCTGGCTAATGAACATCATGTTAATGTAATGCAAAGGAAAGTAATTTATTTAAAATGAATTTTGTCAATTTATCAGACTGTGATCATGTCTGGAGAAAAAAACAACTTATGGAATTAATCCTTAACTGTAATAAAGAAACAGTCATACTTAAAATTCAAGACAGAAATTCTGCCAGAATTTTAATTCACTTTAAACAATCTACATATTGTACAATGTAATACATAGCACCTTATACAAGAGGCCCATGGTCCATGACACCTGAGCCCTTTTGCAAGAGAAAAGCAGAAATCAGTTCAGTATTGGAAAGTTTGAGTAATTATACAATTGGTGCCACCCTATGCCCTGTGGGTGATGATTTGAACAAACCTGAAACTACTTCTCCCATCCTACCCCTTGATGTTACGATTTGAATAAATTTGAATGTACACTACCTGAAAAATACTCCTGTATTAATATAACAAATCATGGCTTTGCTGTTCTTGAGAAGAAGGCCTTTAAAGACATTTTCTATACAATTCCATGTAAAAGTCTTATGCCCCATTGTGTCCCCACCCTTCTGCCAGGGGTCATTTGTTGATAAAACTTCAAGCTACATTACCTGAGAATGCTTCTGTATTAATATGACTTGTCATGGCTTTGCTGTTCTGGAGAATAATTTTTCTGGCCCACTCAGACCTGTTTAACTTTTCTAACTGATGTCAGTATTCTAGAAGTTGTCAGTATTTTGAGCAGTTTGTCAGTAAAAATGCAACTCAGCTTATTAGACATTTTTATATGAAGAACCCCTTGTTATACAAATACTAAGCACTAACTACGCAAGTCACCATATGCTGTCTACTGTTGCTTACATATTTTACATTTGCCGTAATTATATTGTTTTTAGATCATTTTTGATAAGACCACTTCAATCAACAAGCTTCTTTATCAAACTGATTGGCAAATTTCGGGAACGACTCTGATTTTTTCCATCTTTAGGGAAAATCTGTATATTTTCAACGTGAATCTGTAGAGCACTTTTTTACTCGAAGATTCATGGAAAATACTAAAAAGCTGTACAAGTAAACAACTCTGCCCATTGTTTCTGGAGAAAATTTTTTTAAAGATGCCATCAAATTTGCACTTATTTTTGATTATATCCCCTTAAAATAGGGTGATGCCTTTCATGTGAACAAACTTGAATCCCCCACCGAAGAATACTTTGTGGCAAGTTTGGTTGAAATTGACACAGTGGTTCTTGAGAAGGAGCTGAAAATTTGAAACAACAGTGACGCTGGAGATCGACAATGGACAAACTTTGATCAGAAAAGCTTACTTGAGCTTAAGAAAGTTCTGTTTTCAGCTTTATTACCAAGATCATTAATGGTATCTTCATCACAGCTTTTTTCATCGCTTGAAGGATGGTATGATTCATCATCATAACCATCATCATACTCGTCTGCTTCATCACTTAAAAGTGGCCCTGTATCATGTCCTATTTAAAATTCTAAAAAAGAAATTATCATTTTAAGACTGTTCATTTTTATGGGGTTAACTTTTAATTTGTAACATCGAAACAACATCATAAATATAGATTACCATTCTCATTGACAACATCATGACTGCTGCTTTCATTTACAAATGATTGGTGTGATTCCTCATCCTGCCCAATTGCAAAAGACTCTGTCAAAACATTCAAATTAGATATTAAATTGGAAAATAACACTTTTCTTAAAAAGTAAGATTCAAATTTATGAATACAATAGGGGTTATCTATTTTTTTCTTTTTGCCTTTACTATGCATGCAAAGAAGAGTCCCATGGGCTACAACATTTCCCATGTAAAAGAAGCTTTTCTTAATGTTTATAAAGAGTTTTTCTCCTTAATTTTCTCATGCAAAATTGTGAACTCATATTATGACCCTATCCTAACTCTAAAGGGTCTCTGAATCCACTATCCCCCCCCCCTTCCTTCCTCCCTTTGGCCATGATTTGAACAAAAAGGAAGCTACAAGAAGGTTTAAAAATACTTTTTGTGGTCCAGTTGTTCTTAAGAGGATTCGTAAAGATTTTAACCAGTACATAAATGTATGTATATATTTCAAGGTAAATCTTTGATCCCCTTTTGTGGCCCCATCTACCTCAAAGGCCATTTTTTGAACAATTTAAAATCTTTATTACATCAGGAAGCTTTCACATAAATTTCAGCTCCTGACCAGTAAAGTGAGAGTATTATGGGCTTTGAGAAGAAAATACACATTATGGTTTAATTTGACCTCCAAATCTTTTTTCTAGTACCATAATAGTGTACGATACATTTATTAACTTGACAACATACCAATCTTCTCCTGGATTTTGTATGCTGGTGAGCACAGACTGGGCTCACAGTTTCCAGGAAAGTTATCAGCTGTAACTCTAAACTCCCACTCTGAGTCCTGAGGAAGATCGGTGACAGTGAAGAGGGGTCAGTGCAGGGGTACTCATTTCTCTGTTCCCTTAAACCTCTCTTCTACAAGGTAGTCTACAAAGATAATCAATATTATCAACTGCTACAGTGTTTATGTGGTTTTGAACAGAGATCAACATTTCCCTTTTTCTTTTTTTATTCTACTTTTAAATTAGTACCTGTAATTTTACAGCCACCATTATGTTTAGGTGGTTCCCATTTCAGAAAAAGTTATAGAATTGTTGACAGCCTCTGGTACACCAGGTGGCAAAACCTTGGCTAAAATAAAAGTTTAAAAACGTGAAAGAAAAAATAATTGAAAATAAAGTACAATATGGTAATTGTTTTTTAAAATGTTATAATTTTTTTCAAATATACTTACTGTATTTGGGCTTGGGAGTTATGGGACCAATCACATCACTAGACTCACTAATTTGAAAACCTTCAAGATTCTTGGCCTGTATGTGGAAGTTGTATTCCTTGTCCTTTTTTAATCCCTTCACTGATGAAAAAACTCTCAAATTCAAGTTTTGTAAACAAAACAAATTTCAAGAATCACTTTTGTAAAACATCTTTTCACAGTTTTCAGCCATAATATACTAATTACATGCAACAAAAGGACATGTAAATCCGCTTACTAGTTCATAAGAAAGATACATGTGTCAACAAGTAATCAGTTACTCACCCTCATAAACACACTCATCTACTGGGTAGTCATTAGCCTGCCTCCAGTGGTGGGGTCTTCGTATTCTATGACATATCCTATAATCTTCTTAAAACCATCATTTCTTGGTTTGGTCCAAGAGAGAGATTGACAAAATCTTCATCAATGTCGAAAACACTTGGATGTCCAGGAGGATCACAACAAGCTGAGGGAAACATTTAATATTTTCAAAATTTTTCAACCCAGTTCATCATGCAAGCACAAAGACATTCTTTTAATTGTATACACCAATCAATGCTCGAATCTTAACATATCCCTTCATATTGAAACGAAGTCTTAAAGTTTGGAATTCATTTGATATCTAACAATTCATGTTCAACAGAATTATTACTTCACTTCAGCTTAGCTTCAGGGGAGAGATCAAAATTCATACACATCTACAAAAACTAATCAATCACCTGAAAATGAATTTCTTTGGCTACCACTTAAATATTTAGATGACTTGCAAAATAAAGTGGACAGACAGGACAGTATATATAGCTTGAACGAATAGGGATATACTAAAATACTTAACTAAATGTGCATTCTCAACCAAATTTGTGCACAGTGCACTATTTAAAGAATGTCCATACAAAGTAGTCAAACATGTCAAAATACCAATCCCAAAGATCTTGAACTTAGCATTTTACAATTTTTTCCTCATAAAAATAGACGAATTCAAAATTTGATGAAAAATATTAATGCTCTCAAACTAGGAATAATTAACATTTTTGGTGGAATGGCTCTGTTCAATGGTACCAGTTATGGAAGAAAAAAAAATGCTGCTGTTTGTTCTTTATCACAAAATACATTGTATTTAAAAAAAAAATTCCATTTCTTTTTTATTTTAAACATTTTTTCCTTTATATTCCCACAAAAAACTTTAATCCACTATTGTTGTGCCACTCTACGGGTACCTCTAGGAACCATGATTGGGAAAAAAATTGTACAGCACTTTCTGAGGATAACAGCTAGGACATTAATATCACTAATCAATGTCCTGTTGTGACATACATTCCAATGAAAAACTTCAATCCTTCAGGTATCACACCGGTAATTGTTTTCACTATGTAATTCTATATAGAATAAAAAATCATTAAAAATCAGGTATTCGAATTCATGAAAAAATATTTAGCAGGAAGTGTTAAACGTTACCAGTCACATCAGCTGACACCAAAAAATAGGGTACCTACACGGCATTTTCTGATTTTTTCCATCCGCAAACAGGAATACCCTCAAAACCACGTGTATTCAATGTGTTTATAAACATCCTGTGTGCACCCCAGGAAGTGGCCTCCTATGCCCCGAAAGAAATAGTTCCTGTCAAAAACCTTTAATATTTTACAAAGTACATAAAATATCCTAAGCACAGATACCAAAAATGTAAAAATAGAATAAGGGAAATTAAAAAAATTTCTCACAATAAAAAAATATTTCTTTATTATGTATGGAACTACAATTGACTAAGTTCATTTTGATTGGTCAATTACCAGTGTGATACCTTGAAGGACCTTTGAAGTTGTCAGATTTTTTTCTTTTTTGCACCTGAGATTTCTTAAATAACTGTCACTAACATCCTGAAGTCTGGGGATCTAATTCCCATTATTGCTGGAGATATGATGCATTTATCTCCCTTACTCCAGAGCAGTCAAGAATACACACTGAGCACTCTGACAGAAGTTTTTTGTGCATATTTTGAAGCAGAATTTCATCCTTAATAGACTAAGCCTGGCAACCAATTTTGTATCCGTGGAGAGTATATGCATTGTTCTTCACAACAAACAAAAAATAATTCACAAGTCTGAGACCATTATGCAATTATTACATAACAAAATTGCATTTTACCCTCCTAAGAATGACAAAATTTACAGAAATTGTTAAATATTAGGCTGATAGTAAAATCTGCATCTGGTCAATTTATGTTCCAAATAAAGCCTAGGTGCTTGTCTACAACCTGCTATGCAGAAGTTTATCTAAAAGCTGTGTTGTAACACAGGGCAGTCCAAATGATATCAGCATCTGGGGAGGTTCTAGACAGCTCTGACACTCCATTAAACTTGCTTTGATGATAAGAAAATGAAGAAAACAATTCAGATGTAATTTATTGTTGTGATTTATGTAACTGGCTTTCTCTGCAGACACAAATTAGCCATGAAATTCCAATTGAACATACATAATTATCCTCTTTTCACTGAATTACTCAGGAATTTCAAAGGTGTTTGATGAATTTGCATGATTAATTCAAGATTACAGCTTTTTGTTTCACCAAATTTACATAAAAATTCAACATTTAAATTTGAAAATATAAATCTTAAACATTTTTATGGGTCTTAACACTTTTAAATGTGAATAAATGCAACAAAGAAACTAATATCAGGCCATCCTCCATGATTCTTGGAGGTGGGTGGGTGTACAAAAAATGCTGATAAAATTTATAGGAAGTGACAAAAGAAGAACATGGCACTTTATTAGCTGAATTATGGTTATTCTGATATTTTGATTGTGTAAATATGTCAAATTTCTTCATCACTTTAATTTGTAATTTATTAATATTTCAGTATATTAATGTGTTTAACAAATCATGCTAAAATAAACATCCTGACTGAGACTTAATTTAAAAGAGAGGGTCAACACCTACATAAAAGTTGTAAAATGACAAAAAACATTCTCCGGCAAACTGAAAAATCTTGAATGTCAGCTGCGAAAGCATGGAAAAAGTCTAGAGAACCATAACAGGCATACCATGGTGCTAAGTGACATTCTGCACCATATGTGTGATGCATGGTTGGGACTCAGAATAAGTATTCACTCTCATGCCCTGACAGTATTTATGCATTTTTGGTCATAAGCTTCTTATTTTTGAAAAATTCTTAATAAATTTTATTTGTGCATTACTTTTGTTAGACAAATTTAACTCATTTCATTATTTCTATTCCTCCACTCCAGTAATAAATGAATCACTTAAGGTGAATAAAATGAAAGTAAACCCAGTCTCTGTAAAATTTAACACTTTTTAAAAACATGTTTTACTTCTTCACATTTTATCGCAGTTGTCGCTTTTGTTGAAAACTCATTCGCAAACCCAGAATTAGTCTATTCTTGAAAAAATCAGCCTAAAGTGCTTTTACGGCAAAGGCTGTAGACACTATAATTGACTGCGGTCAGGTGGTGCACAGAGTTTAAAGTCATATAAAATAAAAAACCAACATTTTCTAACTTCTTTCTACATGTCAGATGCATAATCCTCCTTTGAAAGTCATAATTTGGAGTTTTGAGGTTAAAACATGACATATCATTAGTATTTTACATAGAAATCTGTATAAATTAATGTCAACCCTGCTTCTAAATTTAGAAATATGTGCTTTCACACAGAAAGTTCATAAAATGACATATTTTGTTGAAATATGCCTTTATAAAATTAAAACTGCCTTTAATATGGGTGTAGATGATTTTACACAATCACCTTCAAGGTATCACACCGGTAATTGTTTTCACTATGTAATTCTATATAGAATAAAAAATCATTAAAAATCAGGTATTCGAATTCATGAAAAAATATTTAGCAGGAAGTGTTAAACGTTACCAGTCACATCAGCTGACACCAAAAAATAGGGTACCTACACGGCATTTTCTGATTTTTTCCATCCGCAAACAGGAATACCCTCAAAACCACGTGTATTCAATGTGTTTATAAACATCCTGTGTGCACCCCAGGAAGTGGCCTCCTATGCCCCGAAAGAAATAGTTCCTGTCAAAAACCTTTAATATTTTACAAAGTACATAAAATATCCTAAGCACAGATACCAAAAATGTAAAAATAGAATAAGGGAAATTAAAAAAATTTCTCACAATAAAAAAATATTTCTTTATTATGTATGGAACTACAATTGACTAAGTTCATTTTGATTGGTCAATTACCAGTGTGATACCTTCATTGTAGCCCTATCCTACCCCACTGTAGATGCACTTCATTTATTTATTTTTAATTACAAAAAGACAATTGAACAAACTACCATGTTATGACCGCATCTTATTATGACATTTTTTTTTATATGTTGATGTAAAAAAAATATTGATTCCATACTGGTTCCACCTACCCCATTAAGTCAGATTTGAACATGCAAACTTGAATCTATACCATGTCAGGACACTTCCACATAAGTTTCAATGGTTTATAAAAAGGAGACTTTTATATGAATCAAATTTTCACTGTTTCATAGCTACTTCTCCTTGAAAAGTTGGTCACCATTCATTTAAACAAATTAAAATTGCTAAGTGGTTCTCCAGAAGAAGTAAAATGCTCCTGAGCTTTTGAGTAGATTTTTGTCTTAACCTATATTTCCACTTTTGCATAATGTTTTAGTTCTTACAATAAATTTGGATTCTACAATACCAATTAAAATATATTCAGTTAAAACTCCATGATTAAATTCCATACCAAAAGCATTAAGTGAGGAACTACTGTATGTGTACTTAAAAAAGCAGGCTTCATATTTTAGGGGGCCCTTGGTGCAGACAACAATGCCCTAATTCATGAATACCACTAAGAAATCATTTATAAATACAATATATGGTACAGACATTTAGAGCGCTAATTCATGATGTCGCCAACACCTCAAAACCCAGTGATTTCGCTAAATTTTGAATACACTATTTTATGGACACATACAGTATATTTTGTGGCGGAAGGTTTTTTTTAGAAGAAAATGATCATTTCTTTCTCTTTCAAAGTATTTAAAGTATGCTAAGTTTGGATTCCTATTTTTCCATGCAGCCTACACACAGAGTTATTCTGAGCC